AAGAGTGTCCCACAAGAGTGTCCTACAAGAGTGTCCCACAAGAGTTTCCTACAAGTGGCCCACAAGAGTGTCCTACAGAGTGTCCCGCAAGAGTGTCCTACAAGAGTGTCCTTTGGACATATTAGTTTTTCGATCGTGTTTGCATTCGGGTTCGTGGGTTCCATCTTGTTTATTGTTTTTTTGATCAGTGCTTTTCCTGGTAATCTTACTTACGACTTACGGAGGCTCCGAGCACTCTTTGAATCATCCCTCCTTTTAAGACGTTGAAGCCAATCCACTCTTCTAGTGCGCTTGGCTTGCCAAAGGCATTTCACTCTCCATTGTGAGATACATCTCGGAATACACTCCTTGGCTGGAGATCATGAACAATGACTACCCTGACCTAGTGAGGTCAGTCATTGTACCCTGGCGGCAGGAGGATTCTGCCTGATTCTGATGGCGAACTTCAAGATGTCGAGAAAGGGTAAAGAAACGGCCTCTTCATTTTGGGGCTGCGGGCTGCACTGATGAGGTGATCAATGCGCCATCATTCTTTGTGAAGATTTGGAGCATTGTGTCGCTGCTCATTGCTCCTACCACAAGAGAGCACCTTTGAGACAACTTATTTGACTAATGCTGAAGCATTAGCGTCATTGCGTGCAATAGCTTATGGCTAAGCGTTGCTAGCTTGCCGCAAGGAAAGTCCAAATCGTTGGGAAAGATTTCCATCACGTGCTTCAAAAGCATGACGCTTGGAGCCAAAAATGCCGCGAGTGTACTCAGAGTACTCCAGAAGGTTCTGAGTTTTGCCAAGCTTGGCTTTAGCTTTTTGACCTGGCAGTGGCTTTGGGGGAGAACTGCTTAACGACACTGACATAAGACTTGTTGATCAGAGCGCACTTGTTTGCACTGAGGGAGTCAACCTGGACGTTTTACCGGTCTTTTTGGGAGGCAGCTTCGAGGCCCTGCAAACGTGAGTCATACTGTAGTGACTGGAGAGCAACGAGCAACCATCAATCAGGGCATGAAGGACTGTGACGGGTGGCATGCCTGGAAAAGTAACTATATATATACTGTATACAGAACGTTTGGGAGGACTTTAGTTAGACATAGAATCAAGAGTATTCAATAGATCTAGTTTTGGCTTAGCCTGATACTTCCCGGTTCAACTGGCAAGCAAACACAGTGGCCATTGTTCTTTGACTAAACAGTCAAATCCGCAAAATTAGATCAATGGGCTTACTAGTTGCAAGAGCTAGAAGTTGGTGAGTTGGCAGTCGTCACATCAGTCATAGCAGCTTTGCAGCTTTTGGTAGATAGAGTATACGAAAGATGGTGCATCCAAAAAAACATGTTCCATTTCAACGGTATCCTTCGCCAAATTCCAAGTTGTGCCAAGCAGAGCAAGCAACTCTTCCTACTAGAGGGGCTTGAAGGTTCGTTTGTGCCATGAGCATTGATGCCATTGAAGCCGTTTTTGATGGAGCAAATGTGCCGCTGGAGACCTGGCAAACCTTGGCGTTACGGCCGGTGCGGAAGAGGCTGGGTGGTTTACTGGCGGCCACTGGTGCAGCGATAAACGTGGAGGTGCCGGTGAGGGAGACGGAGGGAAGACTTCGCGATGCTAAGGCAGTGAGAAGTGGGGATCGCCAGGTAAAGTTGAGACTTAGTCGAAGATCAACCTGTGATGGGATCGAACCTTTTGCCATATTGGGTGCATCAGTGCATTTGGTAGATTCAACTAGTTTTAGCTTGCCAACGCGGGCGGTTTGTTCACGACGATGTTTTGGAGAACTAAGGGCTCGACTGAAGAGCAGCTCGTTGTTGGAACGTCGCCAAGCCGCAGCAGATGAGGTGCTCCGGAAGGTAAATGGAAGAAGCGGTTCAGCAGCTGAAGCTTGCTTGGACGAATGGCTGCAAGGGTTTTATGCGGAGATGTCAGAGCAGGAAAGACTCCAGCAAGCCTTATGTGATGCTTTGCCAGCTGCCGTGCATGAAGTCAAGGTAAAGGCAGCGGAAGGAAAATCACAGATAGTGCTGCTCAAGAGCTTGCACTGGTTGATGCTGAAGTCCAATTATACTGTCCTCAAGGATCGCTTCGGGCTTTGCTTACCAGTGTTGCTCCAGATTTTGGAGAGCTCCACAGACTCCCTGCTTCGTTTCGTTGGGTGGGATGTTCTGAATCTCTTGCTGGATCGTGCAATGGCAGTAGAAGTGCAGAACTTTGGCCCCTGCCTAGCTGATTTCTTTGAGAGTCATTCTCCTTTTTTCCTTCAAGAAGAGCTTGGTCGCTTAACCGTGGCACCCTTCGCCAGTAGCTTTGTGCTGTTTATTCTCAAGGCCTATCCGGGCCACGAAAGCACCGTCACTGCCCGTGATGAGCAGTTGGAACGGTTCTTGCGCTTCGGGTGCTTTCATTGCAAGGCACAGGCACAAGCGTTCTGCCTGTTCCTGGAGTTTGGATTACTTCCCCTCCTGGCACGAGAAGCTCTATTGTTGGCGCCAAGCTTGCAAGAGATCTCTGTGCTGCTCCTTCAAAGCTGTGAAAGTCCGCAAATCATAGAGGTACTCCTGTCGTGGCGATGTGTATTGCTACTTTTCAGGCGACTGCCGCAACGTTTGCCGCGATACTTTCAGGATATCCTTCTTCGTGTGATTTTTGGCTTCTTGACCTTCGTAGCTTCAGATGCACCTGAAAGTCTTGGCTTGAAAGAATCCCCTGATTCGATCCGTGGATTTCGTGCTCCTGTGGTGGCTTCCATGTCTTCTGCGGAGTGGGAGGAGGCAGAGGCACGACGAGAAGAGCTGGCCGTGGTGCTCCAAGAGGTACTGGAGATCTTAGCAGAGAACACACCTCGGCCTCTTGAAAAGACTCTGACCTGTTACGGTAAATGGTTTGTGTGTATTTTTGTGTGACAACGAGCTTGTCTCGCTCGTTGAAATGGCACTGGCCCTATAGCACCTGTTTTTCCTTTTGAGGGGGATCAGCTATGGTCAGCTGGTCAAGTAAGGACCTTGAATGAGCTTCAGTCTGGATCCATGCTTCCAGCCACCAATCGAGCCACAGAAGCTTTGTCACCTCAGCTCGGCAAATTCGTGTGCTTCGCTCGCGGAGTCATGGAACCTCTCCAGACTGAATGTGTAGCAGGGAAAAGAAAAGGAATCGCCGTCTCTCGCTTTGGCATGATGCGCAGATACTTGTCTCCCAGTTATCGTTTCCCATCGATGGATATAGGCATGGGTTCCGCTGCTCTAGCAATCTCAAGGCTTTGAATCTTGTAATGGAGGCCAATACAGTAGCGGTTTACATGTATTGTACCTGCTCCCAAGAGAAGCCACTACTAAAGTATACTGAAGTAACATCAGGAGGCGCTGAAGCGACAAGTCAAGTGTGTCAATCTTGGACACTGAAAACGGTCTTACACTATATTGCCCTTTCCGACAGGGCTCCCGGCTGAATGCCACCCTGACAGTGCCCAAAGGCGCAACTGCAGGCTGGGTCGGCACAGTTGTTGGTGAGAAGGACTTCACATGCTTGACATGGCATTTGGGTTCATGTCTTCGTTTTGCCGCGGAAGGAGCACTACCTCGATCGGATTTCGCAAAAAAGGGTCGTTTCCAAATGGGACAAACACGGCCCGACATCCATGAAGCGACGGCCCGACATCCATGGGTCCCATATGGGTTCCCCAGGCTCCAACCTCTCTTTCCAGGTCTCAACTTGAGCTTTGGTGGAGCCTGAGGAGAAAACTGGAGCCTGGAGCGACTGTGCAGGCTGACCATGGCTCGTGCTTTTTTATATCCGCAGACAGGCCCAAAGCTCGGCCGAGGAGGAGGGAGCTGAGAACAACCAAATTGGAATTCATGAGGATCAACATACGGTAGAACGCCCAAAGCCTTGCAAAGAACTTTCTGGGGACAAGAAAGCGTTCTCGTTGACGACGTTGGTGATCAATAATATTCAGGGCCTAAGGCGCAAAACATTCTTTTTGCCAGTAGACCCCTTCAAATGACGCAGCAGAACTGGAATTCACATGCGTACAAGCACATGTTTTCCGCCAACACCGCGGAATTGTCTAACCACGGTCTTTTGGATGGTTTGGGGATGTTTTGGGGATTTGTGGGTATCTTGAGCCCAAGGCTTGTGGCCAGGGCTGACAACTAAGCAGGCGGGTCAATACGCAGTGGAAGCGTCACTGATCGCATAGCAGTCCATCTCACAAGGAATGACACTTTGTCACAATTTGCGCCTGTAAATTGAAGAGCCATGTCGTCTGATATCCTTTCCGTCGTTTCGCGGCCACTGAATGACCGCAAAGCTGGGGCAAGACACACCAGTTTTTTCCCATTGGTGTTGGGAGCAACAGGCCTGACAAGGTGAAAGTGTAGTGCGGGGAACGCAGTGCTTTCCCATTGTATTTGAGGCTTTGGCAAGTTTAGGCCGGCCTCAATATTCCAATCGGATACGCCCTGCCATCAAGACTGGATAGAGCACGACTTTACCGGCGCCGCTTGCACCTATCTGAATAATCCCCGATGAATGATGGTTTATGGAATGGGGATTTGATGCATCTATAAAATGCTGATCCATTGGGTCATTCTATAGAGAGGTACCCCTGGAGAATTGACACAGGGATGTGGATTAATGATTTTATAGAGCGCACATGCTTTGGAACATGTGCATATAAGGAACATGTGGATTCTTATTTGATAGAGAAAAGTGGTCTGAAAGGTCAAGAATGTTTGTGAGTCTGGAAATGCTTTTTATTTTGGAAGTGGGGGGAACAATTAAAGTACATGAGAACCTGGAAAAGCATTTCATAGATATCCCGCACGCTGAAGGGTTTATAAAGGCTTCCCTTTGTAGAAGAGGTCCTTGAACTTGTCAGATTCTCGCTTCTGGAATCGCATTTTGTAGACGTTCTCTCTTTTGAGCTCTGATCTTCTTCTTGTGTGTGGTTTCTCATTTTACAGAACCACTTGTTGATCTCTTTTATCCATCATCCTCAGATAGTATTCGTTTTTTAAAATAGAAGTTAGCATTTTTCCTTGTTATGGATTCCTGAGTTTGGATTTGCGTTTTATATAGCTGGTTGTTTTTGCATTTTATAGAGGTTGATCCCTTGCAAAATATGTCTCTAGAGTGCCCAGCAGGGCACCCTAGGGCACAATCATCGGGGATTCTGAATAGCTCCCTTGGAGGTGTGGTGTTCGGGGACATTGGAACTTCGCCCTTGTACACCTTCAACAGCATTTTTACCGAGCTGCATGCTCAGCCACAAAAGGCTGATGTGCAACAGGCATTCTCAGTGATCTTTTGGACTATGACCTGGATGAGCCTGAGCTATCCTGAAGTAAGATTTGATTTGATGCGTGTTTTACTAATGATTAGGATCTTAGAGAGAGACAAGGCAGGAGTTGGCAATTTATTCCCAGCCATGTCTGTCCCAGAAAGCGCATGGCATGGCCTTTTCGATGCAGAATCATTGAGCCTTTGAACTGGGAACTGGTTCAGTGAGCCAACCATCCCTATGGCATGGCTTTTGGGCACTGCAGAACCGCAACTGACCTCGCCCCCGTGCGACATGAACATGCCATGACGTGAACGTTGGCAGAGGATTCACTGTTCAATCTATATTGGAGTCACTGTTTGTACCGAGAAAACTGGGGGCGGAAGGCGCCAGCACCATCATACTTGCACAAGCCACGCGCTGCTTCTAAGACAACGTAGGGCTGCCATTGTGCTGTATCATGCTGTATCACATTGCCAGTCTTGAAGCTGCCCACGGTACAATACTATAGGGCCGAGGGTCATGCAGTCGGTCTCCAGGGTGTCGAAGTACAACCTGCGGCGACGAAAGCTGAGGATTTGTTACAAGTACATTGGATTGGTCATGCGGGTCAGCCACCATGGAGAGGGAGGACCAATTGAAAAGAAAGCAGCATAAGACAGCTTCCTGACTTGGTTCGCTACTATCTATATAACTTAACTTGACCCTAACTTTGGTTGCTGTTGCAGTGCTTTTTCCTGGCCTTGTTTCCACAGGAAACTTCATGACTTGTGACCTTCACAATGAAGGGATCTAGAGTCACTTTACCACAGGATATCTTTGCCAACGGAAGTGGCCATGGGCATCTACAGATGGATTTGTTGTAGGGTACTTTCAAAGTACTTTCCTGCTTCTTGCCTGGCAGACTCGGAAGGAACATTTGCCATGATGAAGGTGATCCTTCAAACTCTACGCCACACTAATCACGAAGACTCTACCAGCGAGGAAGATACCGATGAGGCCAGCAGGAAAGCGCGTGAGAAGCCAGTTCAGGCTGTTCAGGCTGTTCCCTCCCTTTTTCTCGCTCAACAAGGGATCCAGCATTGTTCAACTGGGTCTTGAAAGCTCAGCTTGTGCAAGCAGGTAGCATTTGTTTTGTTATTTCTGTCAGGAGATGACTGGAATTGGCAGCAACCCGGAGCGTGGATCCTGCCAACAGAGCGTGGAACTTTGGCTGCAGGGCCGAGAGATTTTCCTTCCGGTTGGCATCCTTGTCACCGCATTCGTGCATTCATGATGGCTCCTTGTGGCAGACATTTCCCGCAAAAAACTGAAGATAAGCTTGGTCAATAAGTTCGAAGATCCACCCCATGAACCACATTTGCATACACACTTGCTTGGCGAAGCTCTTTGGCCAGTGGCTCTTTAGTGAGTCCTTCTACAGCTCAAAACTTCCATGAGACAGGGGTGAAGATGTCATGGTTGACAAAGGTCTAGCGTGGACTGACAGGCGTTTATGTTTGATGCATCGCACAACTTTGTTTTCTGCACGTCTACGTCTACGTGAGGTTCTCTTCCTTGGCGTAGTGAGCTGCTCTATGCTTGTTGGTGATGGGGTCATTACCCCACCCAACTCAGTGCTGGGTGCCTTGAGACTAGCCAGGATTCAGCTATAAATGCCAGTACTTCTACGTCGTATGCTCAACCTGATGCATTGGTTCGAACATGCTGCACATGTTTCCCGACATTTCGCGGGTCCTATTCTTGAGTGTGATCTGTTTTGGTCCATGTAGCTGCGCTACACTGCCTCCGAGCTTGGCCTTCCAAGGAACAGCCCGTGCTTGCAAGTTTCCGAGAGCTGGAATGTCTTCATAGCAGTCATGATCCTCCTTGGAGGCTTGACGTGGTTAACAGGCATGCTCGGCGTGCCCGTTTCTATTTGATCACTTAGCCATTAAATTATATATATATAGAGAGAGAGAGATTCTAAATAACGTATAGAGCCATGTTTGCTATACCCTCTCAACAACCTGGGCATCCAAGGAGTCTTTGGCTTGCAGCGTGTTGGCTCTCGTATTATTGGTTGGATTGCGGGGCCACTTATGGTGCTTTGGTTCTTGACAATTGCTGCCATGGGCATTTACCAAATTGCCATGAACCCTGAGCTACTTGGTAATGGAGACGTTTTGCCTGTGCATCAAAGCTAGGCTCCATCAGCCTTCCGTGCCCAAAAAATGCACATGTGCTTTTGCTTTGAAGACCAGGGATGTTTTCTGTAACTCCTGCGGGCACAAGATGCTGGTCTAAGGCTTGCTGCTTATATGGCCCATGGCTTCAGCCCAGTCACTGGACCAAGGTATACGGGTTTTATATGTAGGAGCAAAGAAGCTACTAGGGGCTCCTGGCATCGCTACTAGGAGCAAGGACGCTACTAGGGGCTCCTGGCCGTACTACTAGGAACAAGAAGCTACTAGGCACATTTGTATATCAGTAACATATAACTCAGTGATTTGGGCGTTCGGCAAGGGACAGGCCTCACTTGAGGGACCTCATTGCCGGGTAGTGGTGGGCAACTTGATTGTGGACACCATGCCCTTGGCACTGTTCCCCTGCCTAGCCAAATATGTTACGCTTTTGGCATGCTGCGATCCAAGAGAGGGTTGCAAGAAGTGTGCCACCGAAGCTGAGGTGAAACTGTATCATTTCTTCGTTTTGGGCGAGTTCCGTGGCTTTCGTGCATACCGGGCAATTGCAGGAGTGGTCTTGTGCGTCACAGGAGCAGAAGCACTTTATGCTGATATGGGGCATTTCGGAGCAGGCCTGATGCAGCTGGGGTCAAAGTTCCATTGAACGCATTTGAAAGCGACTTTGTTGCCTATGCTTTTCAACAGCTACTAGTTACTAGGGGCTCCTGGCATTGCTACTAGGAGCAAGGACGCTACTAGGGGCACCTGGCCGTACTACTAGGAACAAGATGCTACTAGGCACATCGCATTTCATATCGCACCACCCTACTGGCCCCATAAGATTGTTGTTTTTCTTTGTTGCAGTGTTGAGCTGAAAGCCAAGAGCTCAACAGCCTTTGCATACAGGTCCTATTACTACTGCGTGGTTCTTCTTGGTCTGGCCATGTCTCACTTTGCAATATTTTGGTCAAGCAATTGTGCTTGCTGCAGATCCCACCCTCATCAACAGCAACCCTTTGTACAGTACAGCCACACGACTATTGGATGGTGGCAATTGGCTGAAGGGATTCTTCCAAATCATTGGCTTACCCCTGCCTCCACGGGCCCTATGCTGCTTTAGTCAATCAGTTCTGGTAGACATAGCCTAGATTACAGCTCTAGGATCAGGGCAGAAGACAGCTGCATTTGACCAAGACGTTGGTCGAAAGCCAACCTAGGTACCCAACTCTCTCATTTGGCCAGTATTCATTTTGGCAGCTTTGGCTGCCATCATCGCATCGCAGGCG